CAACCCAAAACATTCTATGATTCTTGTGCTTTTCCAACTTTGCTTCCTTTGTTCTTCAGCCTGTTCCCAAATGTGTTGCCGTAAGACAGTGTAGAGCAAGAACATCTGGCACTAAAGATGCATTCAGTTTTTGTGTGTGTGAAACAGCCAAGTAAGAACAGCTGTATCAAGGAGAAAAAGTGGCACAGAATATTGCATTTGGTCTCCTTTTCCACTTCTTGTGTCAGCTATGAGGTTGTTCTTGCTTGTTTTGTGGGAGGCTGATTTGGGTCCGTTGTGTGATCTTGAGCAGTTTTGTTAATTGAGCAGGCCTGTTGTCTACCCTGTCTGGAATAACGTACATACGTCGGTTACTCGTTTTAAAACCACGTAGTAAATGTAACAGAGTTCAGGGAATAGAAGAAAATGAGTGCGGGTAGATTCGTGCTGTTCTATTAAATAGAAAAGAAGAGCTTTCTTACAGTAAGAAGAGAGCGTGGCATTGGGGGGGATTAATTCACAGATTGACACAGTGCTCCTTCTCTGAGCCTGTACTTAAAAGTGGGCAGAGGGAAAACAAGAGCCAGAATAACGGATAGAAAATCGGTGCGGGCGTGTATGTGTACTTACGCTTCTGGTGAAATTCTGTGTGTTAAACCACTCCACTTTTATGTTGGTGGGTGGTGATTACTACACTGTATGGCAGAAATGTGCTACTAGAGAAAGAGGGGGAGGATCTCACGCGTACAGCGTTATGCCCTGGCTTAGATGAGTTCTGTAGACGCGCTCACTGACGAAGCGAGCCAGCTAGCTCAGGTGCCACATTTCCACACCTTCAGCCCCTCACCGGTAAAAGCAGTAAATACTTTTTGTCTGAACAAGGTACATACCATGAGTCTTTTTTTTTTTTTTCTGTGGGGAGAAAAAAAAACTGCTGAGTAATTCTTAGTTTGTTGAATTCCCCAGCTCTCGGTGAGCTTTACATTTGTTGCGATATAGCCAGCTCGCGCTGAAGTTCTGGATGGGGACTTGCCTTGTGAATGCTCAGGTACAGGGCAGCGGGTTTTTTGGTGCAATTTGTTGCTCAGCTAGTGAATATGCTCCCCAGGAACTGTGCAGTGTGCGTTGGTTTGTTTTAGAGAATGTGTATTAATGATGCTTCTCATTCTTACACTTGGTTTTTATTTAAAGCTTTTTTTTGTTTAAATTGAAGGGTGACATTGCTGCTTGCTGATTTTTTTTTTTTTCCTCCTGCATTCACTGATTTCAGCTCCTCAACTTTATACGTAGTCCTGTTCAGCTAGAGAGTGCAGAAAATTAAACTTTGAACAGAAACATCTCTTGGTTTCGTCAGCCTTACGCTATTAAATGTATGGTGATCTAGCTTTAAAAGAACTTGCCTTTAAAGTGGAGACACGGTATAGGAGGTCATTCTTTTAGTTAATGGGTTTAAATGGAAAGTGGGGAGGTTCAGATTAGATATCAGGAAGAAATTCTTCCCGCAGAGGGTGGGGAGGCACTGGGACAGGTTGCCCAGAGAAGCTGTGGATGCCCCATCCCTGGATGTGTCCAAGGCCAGGCTGGATGAGGCTTGAAGCAACCTGGTCTAGTGGAAGGTGTCCCTGCCCATGGCAGGGGGGTTGGAACTGGATGATCTTTAAGGTCCTTTCCAACCCAAACCATTCTGTGATTCTATGGGTAATGAACATGCTGATTGCTGGGGTGGAAGGTCCTACAGTTGTGTTTCTGATGGTGGCTTTTTCCTTCTGTTACATCAGGGACACGTACAGTTCTCTGTCTTACCACAGTTCTAGCCAGCTTGAGGCCAAGCAGCTACTCTCGAGTTTGGACCTCAGCGAAGCAGAAGAGAAGACTGAAATAACGGGCCGTATGGTACATGACCGAGATGAACGGGATCTCCGCAGCAGAGGTTTTGGAAGCCCATGTTCTGCTGCTGCAGACGAGACTGTTGTTAGGTATTTGAATGACCGACCGGCGATTGATGCCTTGCAGAATACCGAGGCATTTCTTAAGGTTGCAACACCCCTGAGACTGGAAGAGGAAAAAAGTAGTGGCTCCAGAGGAGATGAGAGTAGCACTAAAACTCCTCAGAGTAACACATCCCATGAGAGTGAACTGAAAGTGTCTTCCCCTTCTGCCACGAGTAGCTGTAGTGCTCACAGGCTGGAAATCTTGAAACGGCGGCAGCACGATGCGAAGCTGGAGAAGCTGAAGGAGCGGATTCGAAAGCAGTGGGAGCATTCTGAAGAGCTCGGTGGCAGAGGGCAGCACTCGGGGTATGCTGAGCAACCTGTCGTGATCACGAACGTGGAGAGCGCGGTGACTCCCAAAGTCAGGAAAGTGGCAGCTGCGCCTGCGGCTCCATCATACAGAGGTACGGGATGTGCAGGATCCCTCCGTGCAGGTTTTACGTGGGAAGGAGCAGAGCTCAGCTCAGCGAGCAACTTGTCAGGGCCTGGACATGACGCGTAGCCGTGTTTGGCAATACGGGAGTGGATAGCATAGTTTGATCCCAGATATGGACAAGAAACAAAAGAAACTCTTGTCAATTTACACAATTGTGGATTCTTTTGCAATTTTTTTTGTCTCTTTTTACAAATTACTATAAAAAAGAAGCTTGCTGTATTAGTGTTTGGGTTTATCTTAATATTTTTTTACTGGTCCCAGAGGTTAATAACATTGCAATGATTGAGAAGGCATTCTGCATTTTTAATAATCTGTTCTTCATCCAGTCTACTGTTCTTCAGCCATGAGCAAGTGCCAGACTGGTATACTGCTTTCTCCTAATGTAGCACCCGAAGTTCAAGTAGTTCCTCTCTTGGCAGTTTCCCATCCCTTCCACCCTGAAAAAGCTTTATTTACTTTTTTCACAGTTATTTTAAACTCTTAAATTGTTCGCTTTCAGGTTTCAATCCTGCCGAAACAAAGATTCGCACTCCAGATGGAAAGATCTGGCACGAGGAAGAATTCCGCATTAGTCGGGAGCTGTATAGGGATATAGCACTCCAGTTAACAGGTGAGACACAACATGAATTGGTTGAACGGCACCACCTTCCCCAAGAGGCAGGGAAGTATCTTTTGTACCGGTGTACAAAGTAATGGAAACACAAAATTGAAGCAGTGAGTGTTAAATATGTTGTTCTTCTCTCCATCGGAAGACTGACCTGTTGAACATTAAACCAAAACTCCTTCTCCTCATTCTCTCACTAAAACATAAAATCAATACTGAAAAGAATCAAATGATGGTTTTTCTTTGAAACATGAATTAAAAAAAATTACTTCTTTGGAAAAATTTTGTTTAATTTTGTAACCTTTTTAACATTTGCCTGAATGAATGCATTTGCCCGTTTTAAAGGACAAGGCCAGACCACATTTTGGTTTTGAGAAAACCTAGATTATCTCTTGGGAACAGTTTTGCTACTTTTTTGCCATCGTTAAGACCATTAAGGTGATTTGTGCACTGTAGGCTGAAGCCTGGATTCTACTACTTTCAAGGTAGTGTTAACTTGTCAGTCCTGAAGCTGCTGTGGGGATTGTTAGTGGTTTAGTTGGATTGTGTAGGTGGCTAAAGGGAAGATGGAACTGGACTTTTCCATCTGCTGTGCAAAGTCTTTGGGAATAGTTGTTTAAAATGCAGTGGGTAGCCTGTAGTAAAAGGGGTATGCCTTGTGGCATGTGTGGTGGAGGTGAGATTGTATGGCAGTAAATTGGTTTAATACCTCTGAACTTGTAGAAATTTATTGCTTTGTATCAGAATAATCCAAGTCTTGAAGTTCTCTGAGAAATTCATCCCAGAGGTTTGTACACCAGGGTGTTTTTAGAGGTCTTCCCTGGATTCCCTGAAGACTGGGAGAACAGGTAGACCAGAAGAAGGGTTAAGAAAACTCTGATTTCCTCTGTAACTCTTTTACCTTCAGTATTGAAAGGCTTGGATAGGATGGGTGAGGGAGGACGGCTGTGTAACTGCAGTGGTAAATTAACAGAGCGTTAACCTTTTGGATTTGTTCCACGTGAAGATGTAGGAGAATGCTAGAAGCTCAGGAAACTGCTACTCACTAGTAGGTCTTTTGAAAAGGTCTTTTGAAAAACATTAAATATTGTTGTTGCAAAATGGCAACGCAGTAAAAATTATCTTGTTTAGTTGTTGAGATCATTTAGCAACAGAATATTCTGACGCTTAAAGCTGATGAAAAATGCTCTATTGCTTGACAGTTACGCTGCTGAAAGACCAGAGCAGTAATAGGTGCTTTATGGTTTCAAATGTACTATTCCACGACCCAATCTTTATTTTTTTTCCCTCTGGAAAACTGTAGTGCCATTGGCAGCTCTTTTCTCTGGGTGATCTAGGGTAGGATGCCTAAGTGTGCTTTTTGATTTGCTAGGCTGGTTAGGTTGGAGCGCTGTGATGTTGAATTGCTTTTGACTGACTGAGTTGGGTCAGGGAGAAGAAATCAGGTGGATAAAAAGGAAGGGAATGGAAAAGTCATCTGAGAACCTCTACTTTTGCAGCTTAAGAGTTGGCATATTAAAAATAACTTTTTTCATTGCTCAAAACATTTCAGTCCACGGGAAAATATACTGACATTGTAAACCTGCAGGTGTCTTTGGTTGCTGAGAGTACAGTGGCTGGTATGGAAACTATTAGACTTCAGTTTTATTTTGCTAGGAATGTTTCTGAAATCACTTACTAAAAAGAAGTTCAGAAAGAAGAGCCATTTCTTTTCAGTGAAATTGTTTTGCGGATACTCTATTTCATGAAAGTAATGTGAAATTTCTAAGGACTTTCAGTCTACACCAGCATTTTTCTCAGTTTTGACAAGCATAATATAAATGACTCATGAGCTGTCTATAGAAATCCAAATTTTGGAGAAGTTTCGTTAAAGAGGTCCAATTAAAAAGGCATTTGGAGCATGCGTTCTGCGGACCTCAGCCTGCAAAAGGAAGGAGCTGGGACTGTGTTCATCCATGAGCCTGTCCCGATGTCCTGCGTAGAACAGCTGTCGTGGAACGTGTCTCCCTTCTGACCTGAAAAGATTATACTGAATAGCTGATTCCAAGTAATCAAACGCTGGTGCTGCACATCGTATATACTGTAAATGTATTTTTAGGTTGTTGGATTATCTCTCCATGTGTTAATTCTGTATTAAAGTTACAGCATGTGGAGTTTTGGGTGTGTACAACCAGTTGTATCCAAATGGTTCCATGCTTTCTAGCGCTAAAATAAGCCCTAATATCTCCAAGATGTTCGTCACTGCAACCACAGTTTTACATGTAAGCGTAGACCGTACAGAATGTCTTTATCTTGGCTTAGCAATTAGGCTACGAAAATTGGATCTGGACCCCAAGCTTCCAGTAATTCTGTCTTTGCAATGTTGAAGATTAGCCTTACTAGACCAAAATTGCTGTAATATGAATAGCGAGTGGGAAGCAGCCTGCAGGAAGGAACTGTTTGTGACTGAAAGAGGTGAGGAGGTAAGCTAGGTTTTGGCAGAGGCAGCCACTGAGGCTTTTGGTACTTGATGCGTTGATTCTGTGTTCCCGGCACTTGTCGTCAGCCTCAAAAACGACTGGAGAATTTGTAAGGAAAGGATATTAAGGGGGGAAAAAAGACACTTAAAATCCTATTCCCACCTCCTCTAATATGACCTGTTGTTTTCTCTCTGGTCCTTGTCATCAGAGAGTGGATTCAGCTGAAATTAGGGGCTGTGAAAGTTAGTTTGGGCATCTGAATAAAGGTTAGATCTCTCTGTCAGGGGGGTTGCATCCTGGTTGTCGTAGGTGGTCTGATGACATTCTTTCTAGAAGAGGAACAAGACAACAGTGATGAGTGGCCACGGAGTTACTCCAATTCCCAAATCTATTTGGGGATTAAGCAAAGAGCATCTTCAAGGCAGGTAGACTAAAGTGCTTTAACGGTTCTTTGAAAATGTCTGGTGAGACTGAAGAGACAGCTCGTCCGTCCTGGGGCAATGCTTTGCACTAGGCAGCTGCCAAGCCTGCTCCCTGGGGCGGCGATTGAGCCGCACGCCCCAGGTTGTCTTTTTTGTTCTTTCCCCTAACAGGAAAACGTGGTAAAACATGACAGTGTTTTTGTTAAGTGTTCCTGGCACCTCTTAAAGCATAAAACCTAATTGTGTTGTGCATCACTGGGTGAATTCTGAGAAAGTGGAGCGCACGGCACCCTGTCTGTGCCTGGAGGCAATGGGTGGATGTTGAAAATGAACTTTGGAAAGGTCTGTTTTGGCATTGCTGTTGCTTCGCTGTGTTCCGGTGCGTAGGGGAACAGCACCTGAATCAAAATTTACGTGCCGTGAGGATTTTAAAATGCTGGGCTAGGAGGAGTTGATCTCAATGTATAATCTGGGAGAGTCAGTGAATTTTGTTTCTCAGTTCTTTTTTAAGGTAAATGTTGAAGCAAAGTTGTTATTCACATTCTGCACACTTAACAGCTTCTGTTTGTTTTTAGGGGATTCAACAGTGAAAGAAAAACCTATTGAGAGAAACAAAGAGAAAAAAGCAACCAGACCAGTACGGAAAGTGCAAAAGCTGACACGGTTGTCAAGTCCAGAGTCCAAACAAGGTGACTACCTCTCCTGTTGAGGGAAGACTGTCACATGTCCTTCAGAGATGAGTTTTGTCTCCAGAAATAAAGAAAAATTAAAGCATATTGCTTTCAAAGTCTCCTCAGCTGTGCAGCAGTGCTGTTGTAGTGTGTTTGTAGAGTGTATGCTATGTTGTTGATGTGCATGTTTTTGTTCTTGCTTGGCTGTGTGTGCTTTTTTCCAGTTTATTTTAATTCTCTGCCTTTCTGCTTGCTGCATGCATCTCACGGAAACTGCTGAAGAGTGTGTGTTTCTTGGGGGTGTGTGTGGAGAATCCTTAGGTATCTGCCAGACCAGCACAGACAGAAAGTAGCAAGAGCTCCAGTGTGGCTCCTGCTTCTGTGTTGGTTGTACTGAGGGTGGTCAGAGCCTGACCCACGGCTCCATCAGTAATGCTGAGAGGAGGAATGGCGACGGTATTAAAACCGCTGCCGGCGGGACCTGCCGGGTCGCTCTTCTGCAAGGAGGGGCTGCAGCGAAAGCTGTTTCTCAGCAGAGGAGTGGAGAACAGGATGGCTCCACTGGCCCTTCTCTGGCTGTTGTTCTGCATCCTGTCTCAAGGTGTTGCCGTCCTGCACCTTCGGTTCTGGTTTGACCCATTCTTGGCTTTTGCAGTTAGACACGTTCCTTGACGTGTCTTATGAAGCTCAGTGTTTATAAAGGAAAATTTATTTCTTTTACCCATTAAGAATCTTTGTGGTCTGACCTCGCCAATGTCCATTAAATACAATGAAAGTCTTTAGAGAGGGCGATGGTGAGCAGGTTACTGTAGGGCCGTGCCTTTTAGCAGAAAATTAAATCAGCTACGTGTGGAAGTCTGTCAGTTCTTTGACGTGTCTTATGAAGCTCAGTGTTTATAAAGGAAAATTTATTTCTTTTACCCATTAAGAATCTTTGTGGTCTGACCTCGCCAATGTCCATTAAATACAATGAAAGTCTTTAGAGAGGGCGATGGTGAGCAGGTTACTGTAGGGCCGTGCCTTTTAGCAGAAAATTAAATCAGCTACGTGTGGAAGTCTGTCAGTTCTTCTCAGTTTGCCAGTAATGTTAATCTTTGATATTGTGTGTAGCAAAAATTAGCATCTGCTTCGTATTTGATTTTAATTTTCATACAAAGCAAGTAGTTACAGCTGCAGTCACACTACGGGGTGACCTTTTTCCTTTAAACACCTACGGTTAGGCACTTCTTGCACCTTGTAAGGTTTTGCATTTCTCCACGTGTACAGTGACCCGTAATCAGTAAACACTCTGAAGGAAAAAAGCTTTTAATAATTATTACAGAGGGTTTTTTAGAGAGTGAACATGCTGTAAATCATGAAGCTGGGTGTGAATATTGTGCGGTAATGAACGCCGATACTTAAAAGTGATGGGCTTGGATTTTCTCCTTCCTGTGCTGATCAATTCATCCTTAGGGAACTGTGCTAAACGAGCATACGTATTTGTGACTGTTCCAAGTGAGGGAGAGGAGGACAGAGTTCGCTGCAAGTTTTAATGGCTATTCTCCATAATGGATTAAATGTGAGGAGGGTGATTGTCTGAAATCCCTAGAAGATAAGAACCAGATCTCAGTGGCGTATCCGTGATAGTCCATCCTCCTCCAGTCACAGCAATGAGAAACTGCTTAACATAGCCCAGGCTATAAATAGCCCCGGCTCGTGTTCCGCTCGGTTAGCGTGTTTTCGTTCCAACAGCTGACTTGGAATGGAAGATGAGACTTTACGCTGCCTTTTTATAAACGCACACAGAAGTAATTGAGAGCAGCGAGATCGGCGAGAGAAGCCCTTTGGCTGCTACCCCTGTTTCAGAGAGGCTGGTAGTGACACGTTTGGAGTGTATATAAAATACTTGGAGAATTGACAGCGCAGGCGAGGAGCTCTGTTAGTAAATGAATGAACAGTGGGCTACAGACCAGACTGAACAGGTTTCCTCCTGGTTTAAGTAACGAAGAGGAGAAGGAGGGAGCAGGGTAGGGATAGAGGAATGGGATTACCAAAACACTTGGCCTGCTGTCCTGGATTTCACCTGAAGTCGCTTCGGTAGCAGGTCCTTGGAGCACCGTTGTGCCCGGAGTCCAGTCCCTTTCGCTTGGCTTTGGTGTGTTGGTGCTGCGGTGTCTGGGTTGGTTTAGACAGTGCCGTCCTCTTCTTTAAGGTCATTATTTCACAAAGCAATTAATAATATTGGAAGTTAGCGGGGTGAAAGGTGAGTTGAATAAACCTAGCATTTAATCTAACCAGTATGAGGTAAAGATGCCACCGTACTCAGTTTTTATAATTTAATTATATGGAGGATGATAAAATAATACTAATAACATTGCAGTTGGGTCTGTCACCTGCAAGGCAGTCTGGTCTTGAGTTAAGTATCAACTAATCAGGTTATGTCTTAACTATTTTCAGTCATGGTACCGGATTCCCAGGTAGAGGATGGTGAGTTGGTATTGGCAGAGGACAACTGCTGTTGGTATTTTTTTACCTCCACACAAGCCACTTGTCTCAGCAATTAATTATATGTAAAAATGTCTAAAGCTTTGGGGGGCTTTTTTTGAAAATATCAGCTAATATTCTTTTAATATAAAGATGAATTGTTTATCTCCCACCTTTATTTTTGTTCTTATTACAACAACATTTTCAATCCTTTTGTCTTTTATTTTCCTTATTTAAGTGATCAACAGCTTCTCAGACCTCTACAGATACTTCCCCTCTCCCTCAATAACGTTTGCTTGCACATTTTAGACCTGTATAAGCCTTTTTTTCTGTTTTTCAATGAGTTTCTGTAGGACTTTAATGTGCTACAGCGTGTTTAGGATTTCTACACTGTGTTACGTGTAGGCACGAGGCGCTGATAGTTGTGGTTCAGCTGCTGAGTGTCTCCGTGGTCTGTTTTGTGTAACTGCAGCCCTACCACTTACGCAGAACTAGATGGTATAAAGTGATCAAGGGTTGCAATAAATCCTTCTTTTTGTTACATTGAAAAATCCATCTAGTGCTTGACTTTGATTTATTACTTGTTGTACAGGTGGAAGCTATGTAATAAGTGCATCCTCCTGGCGGGAGGGACAAAAGTTGGTAAAAAAGATACTGGGTCCAGGTCCCAGAATAGAACAGGACAGAAGAGCTGTATCTAGTGACAGAACAGGACGAGAGCGAGCTGCCAAGCCTGGTAAGTCTACTTTGACCTCTGGGCTTTATTCATTGTTCTGCATTTATTATATAACACCACATCTGCAGAGTAAAGCAGGCTCCTGAGATAGACTGTAATCAGTTTCCTATTAAAATTACTCTTATTTTTAACCTGGGATTTGAGGGGGGACAATTTTACTGGCACCCGTGGTTGGGATGCATACCCTCTCTTCCTTGGTGGATTCAGAACTTTTCATGGTGTCACGGGAAGCCTGCCCTGCCCATGTGACTTGACAAGCAGTACATGCTGTGAAGGTGCTCAGGAGCTCTGGAAAAGATGGGAAGTAGGTTATAACCACAAAAAATGGATCGCCTGCAATCTGTCTTTGCCTCTAGAAACGTGGTGGGGACAGGAATTGCTAGAAGTGGTCCACAGGCTAGATGAATTTTCCAGATATGTTGCATAAGCTATGGGTGGTCATCCCCGTTTTACAGGAATGGTGGTTCTTCCACATACTATATAATGTCATCCGTGTGCATCATAAATCTTCATTTATTCTGCCACCAGCCCCTTTCACAATTTGTCCAGAATCTCAGACAGGGCAGGTAAGGGACAGTTTTAGCTGCTGTGCTTATGCCTGTGAGGTGGTGAGGCCAGTAGGGAGTGTAAAGGGTGCGAGCTCAGCCTAAGCAAAGGTTGCCATACTCAGGCTGTGACACTGAGTGAAGCAAAAGCACATTTACAGTGAGATCTGCTCTCTTCCCTCATCATCACTTTTGCAGCTCTTTCAGTGGTGGCATGTAGTTCCCAAATTTGATTTTTACCTGAAATATTTATTCTTTATTTAGCAGGCTGTATTGGAAGGACAGGTTCAGATTCCAGACTGGATGTTACCTGCAAAACCTCTTCTAGAAGTTCTGAAAGGTCGAGGAGTAAAGTTCGGTCTGAGAATAACCTGAAGAAACTGGAAGTTGCTCTTCCTGATGATAACCAGGAAGATCATGCCTCTGTAAATAAGGACTTCCTGCCTGTGGAGATACGCGGAATTCTCGATGACTTGCAGTTGGATTCCATGAGTACAAAGCAAGAGAAAGAGGTGGAAAAGCAGAATCAGAAATCTGTTTTGCCTACTCAAAATGCCAGGAGCCACAGTCCAACCAAAAGGAAACCGGACAAGATAGCTGCCAGCGAGGAGCCGCAGGTGATCTCCAAGAAACGTCACTACGATACCGATGAGGTTCGGCAGTACATCATCAGGCAGCAAGCGGAGAGGAAGAAGAAGCAGAATGAAGAGAAGAAAGCGCAAAAGGAGGCAACAGAACAGAAGAACAAAAGGCTCCAAGAGCTCTACAGAAAGCAGAAGGAGGCTTTTACTAAGGTCAAGAACATGCCTCCTCCAGAGCCTTCGGCAGCCAGACGGTTACAGGAGACCTATTCGAAACTCCTGCTGGAACGTACGTTTTTGCAGGAGCCACCTCAGCTGCCTACGGTGCAGGAAGCGCAGGTATTGCTGATTCGCTGCCTCCGTGTGTTGCAGTTTGCAGGAACAGGAGGTCATATGCTTAGGAAGGTCATGACTTCTCCTGGTCTGGCTATTAGTTAAAAGTCTACAAAGAAAACTGTAGCTTTTGCTTAAGCGTAGTGGTTTTCACCCTGAGCCTCCTTGCTGCTGGTGGCTGTTTTTCACCACCTAGAAAGGTGAATGGAGATCATCTTTCTGTTATAAACAGGAGCAGTATTCTGGATATTAGCTAGCAGCAGCTGTAAAGGTTGGCTCTTTAGACGTGAGTCAAACCATGAATTGAAGAGCTTTGAAGTTGCTTTCGGTCAGTGGACAAACTTTATCAGCAGTGAGTTAAGTTTGCTAACCAGAAAGTGAATACAGAAGAAGATTAATATATGGTAAAAGACTAATATCAGTTTGTGTCAGCTGAACTAGTTCAGTGTGTCAGCAGAGCTTTTCTTCCCAGTACATTCTGCTGAGACAAAAACACAAATGTCTTGTCTTTTGAAGTCTGTGTGGTAGGGAAGATGTGATACGACACTGAGAAATGTAATCCTTTTCAGTTTAAGTGATACGAGAACTTGTAAGCTCCTGCAGACTTTTGAAAATGCATTTTTTTCTGGTTGTCTCCATTTCTAGCCCAGACCTGGTTATCAGCCATCTGGGGAATCCGACAAAGAAAACAAGGCTCAGGAGCGTCCTCCTAGTGCATCTTCAAGTAGTGACATGTCGCTTTCGGAACCACAGCAGCCGCTACTGAGGTGAGCCACTGTGGGCCTTTCAAGAGAGGAAAATCCTCTAGTTTTTATCTCCAAGACGTGAAAATAGACTAGGCACTTAAATTTGTGTGCTAGCGAGAGTGACTGTCTCTATGGCAATCACATCATTTCCTCACAGTAAAGAGGAAGCTGATGCAGGAAAGCGTATGAAAAAACTTCGCTATGGGTTTTCAGGGGGTCTGTAAATAAAGTAAGTGAATGGTCGTTGCTGTTAATCTTCTGCTGACATCAAGGGGATGTGCATTTCGTATCGGGAGACCAAATTTTCTCTGCCACTGCCATCAGGCAAGAGAAGCTGATCATATGAATAGGTCTGTTGATTTTTCTTAGTTGATTTGTTCATTGTTTCTATTTAATCTGGTGTCTTGGAATCAGGCCTTTAGGTACTGACTCTGAATTACCAAAAAATTCTGCTTGGAACGAGCCTTTCCCCATTTCCTTTCATGCTGCTTTCCCCATTTTTAACTGTTCAGTGTATTATCAAAGTTTTTCTCACTATAAGTCCAGGTGCCTAACCAAACACTTGAATATATGGAACTAAAAGTCATCAAGTTTCTTGTATGCCCTTAATAGCCCTGTTGTGCAAGTGTGTGTCTTCATTTGTAATTACATAATGAACGTCTGCTTCTTCGTTACTTGTTCCTTAACTTGGTCAAATCCACACTGACTTGGTAAATTCAATGAGATCTGTTTCTTTTGCTGAAGGAAAGCCTTCCCAGGAAGTACTGGGAATGCTACATAATACTGTATATAAAACAGGCTGCTAAACCATATGGCAGTAAACCTTGTTAGTGTAACATCCTAAGGGAAAAAATGTAAGTACTAACAGTAGGGGAGACTGAGACTTAAGGGGCTGGGTAAGTTACTTGGAGAGCCCCGTAGTAAGCAGGGAGGCAGTTTTTCGTGAGGGACGTTCCAGGTTTCCTAGTATTCAGAATATGTGCAAGTGATATGAGACAAGGAAGGTCTCTACAGAGTTCCTGTCATGCACATGGGAGCTATCTGGAAATAAAAAAGTTGTCTTCCAGAACTTTAAATATCCCTGTGTGCCAGTCCTCCTTTTCTCTAAGTGTTTTTCATGCCCATCCTAAGAGATAGCACCAGAGAAACATGGACTGGGTTCAGCTGGAAGGGGAAGGCTGGGGCTAAGAAATTCCAAGAAAAATAAAATAAAGGTGTTTCCTCCCTTTTGAAGTCAGGAAATTTTTGGAAAAGTCTTACTGCTGATAAAATCACTCAACTTGTTACAACCCTAAAACACACAGTACATCATAAACAGTATTTCAGATTTGGAAGGTGCTGTGTTTTGGTTTTTTTTAGATAACGTTCTGTAACTGTTTACTGTCCCTTTCCCTGCCCCTCTAACTCCGCCAGAAGGTATTTCTTCTTGAAAAATAAATCTGTGGCAATGATACTTGAATCTAAAATAACACTACTGACATTAGCCATCAAATTAAATGTTGGCTTTTCATTTCAGGAGTGATTTGATGGAGCCTCCGTGGGTACAGCCGGACAGGTTGAGCCCCAGAGTCCACCCCTCTCACCTGCAGGCTGTCATGGGCTCAGGTGCAGGCCCTTGCTCCCAACACTGGAGTCTGGAGCAGATGGACCTTCTGTCCAAGGAGTGTGACGCAATGTTGGCAGGCAGGAGGAGCCACGCTGCGCCCGTGGGATCGTTGGCCTTCATGCCTCAGCCATACCTGAACCCACCCGCTGCACAGCAAAATCTCTTAGTAAAACCTACTACTAACCAATATAAGAGCAAATTAGATCGGATTGAAGCTTTGAAAGCTACCGCTGCTTCCCTTTCTAGCAGGATCGAAAGTGAAGCCAAAAGGTTGGCTGGGGCTGGTATCAATTACGGAACCGTGTGGAACTCGGACCATGAATTTATGCAAGAAAACCAGGATGAAGGGCGGTGGGCAAAGGCTGTGAGTCCTCCTGTGCGAGAGGAAAACGAAGATGCTTTTTCATCCAGAATTCAAAAAATGCTGGGTACCTGCGTGTCTCATACAGCCTTCGATGACGGCCTTCCTGGGGTAGGCAACCTTAGTGAATTTAAAAAGCTCCCCGAGACGATCAGGCCTCACACTGCTGCAGTCAGCCTTGGAATGAGGTCCCCCACTGCTAACAGGCATGAGGGAATACTAGGACATTTATCTAGGAGACAGACTGACTCCCCGGGGCGTGAAAACCAGGCCTATGCTCCGAACAAAGCTGCGATTCCTCACGAGTCCAGCATCGACTCCATCAGCGAAGGGCCTCTCCTGAGCGAGGGAAGCCTCTCTGAAGAGGAAGGAGGCCAGCACAAGCAGTTGCCGCTGAAGATGCTGGAGACCTTGAAAGAGAAGGATTTCTGCGTTCGGGAGAGAAATGCTTTTGAGCCCATAAAGGAGTTTCAGAAGGAAGCTGAGAAGTACTTGCCGCTTTTCACTCAGGCAAGCGGCGCACACAGCAAGGGGCCGTGGGAGGAACTGGCCAAGGGAAGTCCCCACAGCGTCATCAACATCTTTGCAAAAAGTTACCGGCTTCATGGAAAAGGTAAAAATGGAAACATTTCTCCAAGTTCTTGTGAATTCCTATTTTCCCAGTCTTTACTACACCTTATGCTTCAACTTCGCAGGTAAGGAATGTGCTTTTAAGTGTCTCAGATGTGAATCCGTGTAAGGCTTTCTCACTTTACTTTTGGATGATAAATTATTTCCCTTGCTGCCTTTTGCCTAAGGAAAAAAACCCACACGCTTTTGGGCAAGAAGATTATTTTTGTATTGGATGGCTCTGTGTTTCTAGATCAAACACAGGAAGAAGTTCTTCACGGAGCGGGTGGGGAGGCACTGGAACAGGTTGCCCAGAGAAGCTGTGGATGTCCCATCCCTGGGAGTGTCCAAGGCCAGGCTGGATGAGGCTTGGAGCAACCTGGTCTAGTGGAAGGTGTCCCTGCCCATGGCAGGGGCGGGAACTGGATGGGCTTTAAGGTCCCTTCCAACCCAAACCATTCTATGATTCTATGATCAGTAACTAATTCATGAGCTGGGTTACATGTATTAAGGACACCCGTAGTTACGGAATTGTGACTGTCAAGTGTACATTTATGGAATTCCAAATGGCATAGTCAATCTGGATTGCCCAGAGGGCATTTGGAAACAGTTCTCTCCATCGTGGAAAACAGACCCTCTGGATTGGAATGCGCATCCTCCTACTAGATGTGTGCACTCCGGGTCATCTTTAATAACACGTCATTCCTCTTTCAGTTAAGGCAGAAAGATTAAATTTGTGCTTCTTACAGCACTTACTTCGTGGTGTAGACATGAGTGCTTGCATGTAGCCCCAGTTCTTGGGACGCAAGAACAATACAGCTTTACCGCATTGTTAGAAACGTGTCACTTCAGTGGATGATGTTATATCGTGTCAAAGCTGCTGTGGGATGGCTGTACTGTTCTTTCCTTGATGTTTTTGTGTTTGAAAGGAAGTTGTGGTAACTCGTAGTTGGGAGCATTTTAATTATGGCAGCTTTATTGATGCACGTTTGCATTTGGTGTCGTTTTTGTCTTTTCCCTTCTTTGTCCACACTTCAGTGTTTGATGAAAGGTTGAACGGAGGCTCTGCCCTTCTGCGTCCTTTACTCCCTGCCATGAGCCCTCCGGAGAGCGTGGTTTCTTACGAAGATGATTTCGCCTCGTCGCAGGGAAGTGGCACGTTAACGGAAAAAAAAATTGCACATGACCTCAGGTAACTGTGTGTTAAGACTTCTCCTAAAAATCAAAATGCAGAATTCAGCAGAAAAGAGTTAATGCAGAATCTGTTCTGTAACTTGCTGGATATCTTTTCTGTACTGTGGTACTAGTCAAAGTGACGAGGTGTTTCCTTAGGACCTTGCAGGTAATGCAGCAATCAGCATGGTTAAGACATAAAGGTCAAGTATTCCTGTTCTCTGTCTAAGTTTGGCTCTTCTTTAGCCTGGCCGGTAGCTTTAGGCAAGGTTCTTGCCCTTTGAAGTCAGGAGAAAGTCAGTTCTTCAACTTGTGTGGCTGCTGTAATGCTCACTTGGTTGGTCTTTGTAATTTAGAAAATAGAAAAGATACTTGAAAGTGTTAAAATACCTTCGCTACTTCAGCGTTGGGTAAAAAGCCTGTAATTTCAGTAAGGGTTCAGTAATGGATACATGAATTGTCTGTAAGAAATTTTAAAACCTCTTGTTCAAACTAAAATTTGAAGACTGTAAGTCCTAGGCTCTCCATGAATTCACGTGGCTTCCCAAATTTCCCAAGACCCGTTGTTTATACTGAGATACGTTTACATCTTTTGGGCACCTTGGGGAATGCCGCCAGTACTTGTGTTTGTGTTGGTGACACTTTACTTTCTTCTGAAGGAAGGTGAGAGGCACTTCGTGTGCTGAAAATGTCGACTGCACAAAAGCTTACTTTCTGATTAAACTTCTTGAGAAGGCTCCGGGGAGACCTTATAGCACCTTCCAGTGCCTGAAGGGGCTACAAGGAAGCTGCGGGGGCTTTTTACAAGGGCCTGTAGTGACAGGACAAGGGGTAACTGGTTTAAACTGTAAGTGGGGAGGTTTAGATTAGATATCAGGAAGAAATTCTTCCCGGAGAGGGTGGGGAGCACTGGGACAGGTTGCCCAGGGAAGCTGTGGATGCCCCATCCCTGGAAGTGTCCAAGGCCAGGCTGGATGAGGCTTGGAGCAACCTGGTCTAGTGGAAGGTGTCCCTGCCCATGGCAGGGGGTGGGACTGGATGGGCTTTAAGGTCCCTTCCAACCCAAACCATTCTGTGATTCTATGATTCTTGATGGGTCTTACATTGGTATCATTTAGTATATGATACATTACCCCCTTATTTGCAAATCTTTTGTAATCCTTTATTGAAAATGGCTCCTATTTCTGTTAATTTATTGACGATACTTGAATGCCCAAGGTGATCTAAAATGCAGTTGTATTTGGAGTCGTTCTTACGTTGTCAAAGAGCTCTGAAGAGTTAACTTTGGAAAGGATGGTTGTTGCCCATCTTTTACTGTTTCATATTATTGGAAGTGTGTTTCAATATGTTCAGTATCATGTCAAACTTTCTTCTGTTTGAGCTGTCATAGTTTGTAATCTCAAAATCAATGTTTTTCAAGGTGGGAGTAATTAGTGCAGTTTTAACCCTCTGTCTCTAATTTGAAGTGTGTTGGGTTTCTTGTACACACCGTAACATGGGAGTTGGAAATCCTTAGTTAATCACTGTCTGTGTGCTCCTTTTTAGCGTTTCTGGCAGTAGTAATTCCAGCATCCAGGAAGAACTTCCTAGTAGGAAGTCTCCCCATGAACCTCGATCTGCAGAGCTTGCTTCTCAGTATTCATCTGGACCACGGTCTGCAGCGTCTTCTCGCTCATCTGCTTCCTCTAAAAAGAGAGGGAAAAAGGAACGTAAGTGCAGTACTGTAGGGGGGAGTTTGAAGGAGGATTTAGGGTTTTCTTGTTGTGAAGTTTGCAGTCTTTCTGCATGTCTAGAAACTGTAATCTAATACTGATGGAAAGATCTCTTTATTCCTCCAGTCATTCCTTCCTACGTTCTTTTTTGACTCTGATTATTCTCTCACCTTAAAATGAAGTCACCTGCAATTAAATATGTTATTAACAGTATTAAAAATGTTTCCTTTCCTAAATCAGTCTTCTAACACATTAGTTAATTTTATTATTGGGTGGAAGCTATCCTCAGATTTTGTACTGAGGAGATTCCAGTAGCTGCTCAGAAATCTGACTTACGGCCACATTTGCGTGGGTAAATTAAACTTACATTTCTTGCTTGTTGGATTTGTAGACTTCTAACTCAAAGGCATCTTTACGTGGGGAAAAGCTGCTCAGTTACTTGTTTTGGGGCTCCTGATGGCTAAGATATTCATACTTAGTATACCAAATGTAAACTTTTCGCCATGTTTTTGCTTCTTAGGGTTGGACTCTTTCAGTGGAAGTTCTCACCACTTTCCTGTGGAAGACGATAAAATGCTCTCTGAGTTAGAGTGGGGATCCCAGCACACCAAGAAGTCCTTATCGAGCAGCAGAATTTCTAGTAAAGATCACGAGCAGAACCCAGATACAGACAGCACGTTAGAAAACTTGTCTGGTCACTCTCTAATGAGGTAACGTGGACCTTTGCAGATATCTCCAAGCTTGGATGTGTCTTTTTATATGCAGGAGGAAGAGTAACAAAAATGATCAAATGGTGGTAAGATAGGCAAGCAGAAAACATGTTTTTCTCTCTATCTTAAATAGGAAAGCCCAAAGTAGATGGCTGTAGTAAGAGAAAATCCAAACCAGGGATTCCTTCCCAGATGACCCCTCTGCTTTGTAAGGATAGCTGGCCAATATAGGTATCCTGTCAGGTGCAGTGCCTTAAGCATTGAAATACAACTTTTGTTTCCCACTTCTACAAATGGTCTGTAGGAATCGTAGGGGAAAAGTTAGCTTGTCAACCTGTGCAGTCATCTTGCCCTTTGCACTAGGACCACAGACATTTTTGGCTTGATCTGTGTTCAGCTAATACTCAGAAGCCTACCCAGGGCTGAGCTGATGTTTTCTGAGAGATTAACTGATCCTCAGAGTGTAGAAAAAGAGGAAAAACTACTGATTTTTCTATTGCATCCTCTGTATGTCCCGCTACAAATGCAGTTTTTCTAGTAATTGTGCTGGGAAGATGGTTATGAAATACTCCCAGGTGAATGCATCCTGCGAGGCCAGGTTCCTAACGGGAGGCGTTAAAACTGCTTGTCTGACCATGTAGAACATGGAATCATAGAATCTTGTTGGTTGGAAAAGACTTCTAAGAACATGGAAATACTCTGTTACAGTTTTTTTTTGGGTGTGTGCTAACTAGGTTTAATTCTTGGGGGTTTTACCTATACCCTAGTTAAGTTTCTGGAGCACCCTGTTTTTTCCCATCTCCTGAGGCCTTTTCCTAAAGTCAGACTGAGTCCGTGCAAATCTGAGCCTGTGCTTTTTGCGTGGATCTGCTTGGTGTATGTAAATGGAAGAACTGAGTTAACTGCTTTATTGTCTAATCAAATGGCTGGACTTAGAGTGTTGACTTAGAGTGTCTCTTTTCATTTCACTGCCAGTTTCTCAGACAAGGGAAGATCCCAGAAGACACCGACTTCTTCCCCATCTTCCGGTTCCCAAAAAATGTTGCAGTTTGATTCTGGAGGCAATACAGCAGAAAGAGTCAAGTCACCTGCTGGCTTTTCTGGGAATACAGCACCAGGGCTGAAGCCTAACGTAGTCTTCCCCGACCTGAGCCTGGGAACTAGCCGGGTGGCCGCAGGAGCAGCCACAGCGGGCGGTGAGTTGTTTTGTTAAACCATACTAATCCCAGAGCAGTTGTATTTTTTTCTTCTTTAGTTTTTTTGATGTGGGACACTAAAATCTGTGGAGGTTGACCCATAAGTCTTATTCCGCAGGCTGTATGCGCTTCTCCCCCGCGGGTCTTCAGCATCGTTTATCAGCAGAATTGAACTACCTCAGTGCTATTGAGGAGTCTGTGCGACAGCTTTCAGATGTAGAACGAGTACGAGGCATATCACTTGCGCAGCAGGAGAGCGTTTCTTTGGCTCAGATTCTAAAGGTAATGGAAAAATACTTCCTTGTCTTAACTTTTCTTTTTTTTGTTTTGCAAGAAAATTAATCACATTAGGCTAAGTTATGCTTCTGTTAGCAATGCAGAGAAGTAGTGATGGGCATGATGGAGCATCTTCGATTACGTCCATTTTTTAGGATTCATGTCTGTTAACTTTCTTACTTTAAGCTTTGATTGTGTAAGTCAGTAAAATCAAAACTTGATCATTTGCTGGGTTTGATACTGGGTCCTAATGCCACACAGTGTAGTTGTTCAGTCTGGATGATTTGTTGTATTCTAGGAAAATTATATTTTTGGTTGAAATCTCCTTATGTTGACAAGATTGCTTGTTCTAGGTTGTTGAATTAGTTAATCTCCTAAATTGTCTTTCTCTCTACACTGTGGTGGAAGAGTATGGGGAATGTACATGCCTACTTAAGAAGGGAGAGGGTCAGTCGGTAAGCTGAAGATTTTACTTTAGCAGAACAGGAACCAGCAGTAGAGTGGATATAGATCTTTCCAAGGTAGCTGCAGCCAGGGGCTAAGGCAGAAAAGGTCTTTATATTTAACTTGTGTGATTAAAACTTGGTTTTTTAATCTGTAGGCACAGCAGCAGCGCCATGAACGGGACTTAGCCCTTTTGAAGATCAAGGCTGATCAGGAAGCTTTGGAAAATCAGAGACAACTGGACGAGGCAAGGCAGAAGGCAGCTCAGGTAATTCTGCCCTTGAAAGAATGTCGAGTGTGTAAGAGGCAAAATGCTGTAAGTAAATCCGTGCCTACAGGTTTTCTTAAGCTGAAGCTGTGAACGTATGGAAATGTTGAAGGGGTTTAATGTAGCTGAAAAAAGCTCTTAGGGGCCAATTGCAAACTTTGGGGAGATAAACCGGTGCTACTTATAGCCAGAAAACTTTGAGGAGTTGACCTGGCTGTGTTTTCTGCGTAGGTGCACGCAGAGTCACTGCAGCATCTGGTGCAGTCCCGGCAGGAGGCCGCGCAAGAGACCCCGTGCAAGGCTGCAGCCAAGCAGGTAGAAACTGCACTTCTTACTGCAGATCCAGCTCACCAGGTCCGTGAGGTGAGGTCCTGAGTGAAAGGCAAAAGCTATTCTCATTTCAGTATTGTTTTGAATCCCTTTTTTTTGCCTTTTGACTTTAAAGGAGCTTTTCTGGCATCCTTACTTAGAAGTCAGTCAGCAGCCTTAAATCCCTGCTCACTGTTCCTATGATCTTCCAGTTAACAAACTGTTAGGAACAAGTACCTCAAAACCGCATCTTACACCTTTTGTTCAATAAATCAGTAAATTGCCTGTGAGAATGACTGTTTTCTCTCAAAAAGTTTTGATGCTAATAAGCTCGTTGTATTCCTTTGTCATTCTTTTATTGTGCTCAGATGACAGAGTTAGCACGGACCCAGATCTCGGATCCTGTCAGCACTCCAGCTGCTCCAGTCTCCACCTTGTTCGACCACCAGCGGCAGCATCATTCGGAGTTCATGAAGCAGCTGAGGGCCCGGTCTGATACAAACAGGTTTTCCCTAATGTTTCACATCTTGGGAAGGGGAAAGTAAGGTAGTTAGGTTTTGCTTCACCTATTCTTGAGGAAAATTGTAAGTTGTCATAATGAGTGAGCATTTAAGAATAAGAATTTCAATTCCATCTTTATGATCTAGTGTGCCCCAAAGGTGACATTAACTGGTTATATGAAACTCTGTATAAAAGAGTAGAAAAAGATGCTCTGAATGTTTTCTGGAATCATTTAGCAAGTCTAAGCTTTAAGTGGCCTTTTCACAAACTTGAACTGTTACTACGAGTGAACTGATGAAAGCTTGTGTAAACTGTGCTACTCTTTGTTTTAAGACAACACAGATTTACCAAAAAAGCTTCTCTTTCTCAGGAAATGTGAGTCTGCTGCCATGTCACAAGGTAAAGAGGAGACAGGTGACTCAAAGCAGACATACTCACCGATGTTTGATAGTTACTCAGAGTCCTCAAGATCAAAGGTTCATGATCAGAGGTAAGAAGAGTTTAGATGACACAGGGGCTTTTTTGCTATAAGTAAGAACTAAAGTGCAAAGGAGTATCAAGGTATTTCCTTCAATATTTTTTTTTGGGAAGAGGGAAAGTCAGCATTAAACCTTCAACAAGTAAGCCTGTCTTATATTCCACAGCTTGAAGGTTTATATACCTACCAGAATTTGCTTTGTTTTCAGTTAAAAATCCTACTACACTGTGTATACTGTGTTGTGTGTTCAGACCTTCAGTTTTGTTCTTATTCTAATTGGATGCTTTTCTCTCTCCTAACTTTAGAATAATTGAGTTTCACATCTGCTTTCTTATTCAGCTGAACTGTCTAGCAAGAGTCTAGCAAGCAGGTGAAGGGAGATAGTTATTCCCCCTCTGTTTAGCTCTTGTAAGACTGTATCTGGAATAGTGTTTGGTTTTGGGGTCCTCACTAAAGAGAGGACATTAACGTGCTGATGCATGTGAGTGGTGAACCCCCAAGATGGTTAGGAGGCTGGATGGAGTACGTGATGCAAAAGAAAGGCTGAAGGAACTGAGCTAACCTAACCAGAATAGAGAAGGCAAAGGGGACTGGGATCTGATTGCAGTATCCTAACGGTGGGTCATTAGGGAATGTGACAGTTCCCTAATACAGTGAGGTGACAAAGTGCAATGGTGACAGATACCGGAAGAGGGAAAGTCACTGGGGGTGGGGGGAAACGCTCCCTATTCAAGTGTTCACACTGAAATGGGGGTGCAGGGAGGTTGTGGGATCCTCTGTCCTTTCAGGTGTTCAGGACTTGGACGTGGCTTTGACGTTGGTTGGATTAAATACCTTCAGCAATTGTTGAGCTGGGATTATTCTGTTTTCTGTGCTGTCACGTACCTGTATACTTCTATTGCATCACCTTTGTAACCTAAAAGTCACTTCAAGTCTCTGTTTATCTCAGTCTTTTTCCCTGTCCTAAATATTTGCAATTCATGCCCTTTTCATTTGGCTCCGTGTCTTTTTGAAACGGACTAGAACATAGACTGGAGTGTGTGTTCTGAAAGCGCGGAGCAGGGACCTGTAGGACTGCCTACTCTGTGCATTACTTACTATTCTGTTTTCTGTGTATCTGGCCCTTTAGTTAAATTGCTTTTGGGTTTTTGCATTGCACTGGCTTGGGATTTTACATGAAGTGCCTGGAGTGCTGGGTTTGACTCAGTTCTGCTGTTATTAGTCAGTCTCTTGCCTGTGTTTAATACTGAATTTTAGCTCTTTGTTTCCTGTTCACTTAACCTGGTCTAGTTAGGTCCCATGAAGTTTCTCACAGCCCTGGACCAACTGGAAAGATTATTGTCCTCTGTTGTTGTTCTAATTTAAAACAGTATGGCTCGCACTCATCCTTTAAACAACTGTAAGGAGAGATGTTTGCAGTGGTTTATCATCAGTCCTCATTGCCAGGTAGAGGGCGTACATGCCTACAAACCACTTGCATTCTAAGGTAGTATAAAAATAACAAGTTCCACTGTCAGTCAGCAGCCTGGTGAGGCCTAGAAGTTTAAAGTAGCCAGGCAGTTTTTTAAAACCAAAGCCAAATCCCCATTGCTGGGATGTGAATTGTGGTATGTACAACAGTCGTGCTTTTGAAGTGTGCGGAGTACTTTGTAAGAAATATCTCTTGATAACACAGCAGTACCAGCAGCCGCCAGGAGAGTCCTTCAGTCCCGTCTTCTAAGGAGAACGAGAAGAAACTTTCCCGTCGCGAAAAGCTGAGTAGCAGTATTGAAGAACAGGCTCATACTGGTGTGGATGACTCCTTGCCCAGCGATAGCCTTTTATCACTGCCGGATGAAAAAGGTTAGCTGTACTGCTCGTTACGTGGTGAATCTGAAGGTGGCGAGGGCGGAGGGACGTGCTGATTCTGAAGTAAATGAGGGGATGTCTGTGAATCAGGCTGAGCCCCCGGTGGGTTGGTAGCCTCTTGAGAGGTAGCTGAGGATGGCACGGTGAGATGGGAACCTCTGAAATTCTGCGTGTCAGAGTGCTGGAGTCTCTGGGCCAGTCTGCTTTCTGCTGCGCCAGCTGTGGCCAGAGTTCACTTGCCGAATATGCACGCTGGACACCAAATGTTTCAGCAGCCCCAGAAATGTGTTTTTACCTGCGTACAGAAGTCTGTAGGTGTTTTGAAGCTAGATAACAGTATTTCATGATGTGCTCTAACTCAAGGTCACGTTTTCCTAAGCCCCCATTTTTCTGCAGGAGGGTAGTTGTCTCCCTGCTTTTCCCGCTCCCCCCCTCCCCAGCTTTATGGAGATGAGACAGAGTAGAACGGCGTTCATGGTACATACCTGAGCGTAAAACCGCTTCCCTGATTGCTCCCTCAGATTCCGCTTCTGTTGCAACAGAGTATTCCCTGAAATTTGATGAGTCCATGACGGAGGATGAGATTGAAGAAAAGTCTTTCCGGTCTTTGCTGCCCTCTGAAAGTCATCGCAGAAATAACTTGGAGAAGAAACGGGGTAACCGGGATGATTCTGATGAGGAGGTGTCCCCAGAAAAAACAGCTCTGTCATCTATCAAGGTAGGTCAAATTAAGATAAAAATTGACTGAAGCGAGGTGGTTAAGCTGATGAGCTTCCAAACGAGCCGTTCTTAGTTGTGTTTGCAAACTTTCGGGTTCTTTTCCTCCCTGTGGTTCTTTGGGCATCTCAGAACAGAGTGTTGTATGAATCATGCTGTATGTCACTGTTGTACAAACGGGGGGACTTAGGGAACAGTTCATCCCCGCCTCCACCTGTTCTCTTGTGCCGTTGGGGGAGAGGATTGACGTTTTCAGGTGGGTTATAAAAGCCCAGTGGATTAATTCTTCCTACGATGCCTACGCACAGCTAGGAAGTAGAAGAGGATGCTCCATCTCTCTGGCCCAAGAGGGGACATCCCAAAACTGTCACACAGCCCAGGGCAGAAGCAGCTGATCTGTGCAAAGCTTAGGGAGGAAAAACAGCTTCCCTTTTTACACCTGCTTTTGTGTCTGTATATACGCACACTTGGTAATTGAAAAAAGCCTGGGAATTTCTGTATTACCAAACCATCTTGCCTTCCAGGAGCTAAGCATGCCGTTCTCAGGGGGGCAGGATAGTTTCTCTAAATTTACCATGGAGATGGTAAGGCAGTACATGAAAGAGGAGGAGATGCGAGCGGCTCATCAGTCCTCACTGCTTCGGCTCCGGGAGAAGGCGCTGAAAGAGAAGACCAAGGCTGAATTAGCGTGGCTGGAACACCAGAAGAAGTAAGGCAGCTCTGAACGTGCATGCTTGCTGACTGACAATGTCCTTGTACTTCTTGCACTTTGTAAGATTCTGCTTCTGCCCTACCTCTCCTTTATTAAGTATCAATGAATTAGTTGTCTGACATCAGTAATCTATACAGATGTTATTGTCACGTGGAAAGAACAGAATGCAGTTTGTTTGTGTACGTTCAGTGTGGTTTGCTAAGAGAATTTCATTGAAACAGTAGAACATCGATGCCTGTTGTCAGTCAGAGAAAGTAGTTCCCAACCTTTACAAGTCTTAATGCAAGAATGTATAAAACTGTCAGACCTTTAGAACTTAATTTGCTTGATGTCTGTCTGAGGTCCTTTTAGTTGACTCAGGCCAAATTTTGTGAATCTGCATACATGTTGTCCTTAATGATTTCTTTCCAACCTAACATATGCCTTGTCCTGGAATGCCACTTGAAGTACCCAGTGATACTGCTCAATGGTGGTGGCCAGATGGCATCAGTAATCCTTTTCCATAGTCACTCTGCATGGGAATGCCATTGTTCAGCCAGCATTTTTCTTCCAGCTGCTTGTCATTGTGGGTTTGATCAGGGACTGTGAGGTAGTGACCCGAGCATGCTGCTTTTGCAGAACTCCTGCCCGTTCATGTGAGCTCTCATATCACTGCACTGGCCTTTCAACTCTGCGTGTCTTTGACTGAACAGTACAAAATACTCCACTGTAGAGAATGCCAGTGATTAAGTGCAGGCATATACCCTCCTGCAGGCTAGGAAAAATAAACTTATTTTTACTTTAAAGAATAAAAGGCTGGTTGTTGTGCACTTCTTACTTAATCCTTTCTTCCAATCTGTTTGCAGGCATTTACGAGACAAGGGCGAGGATGATAAGATGCCTCCGATTCGGAAGAGGCAGCGTGGTCTGCTGCTGAGATTACAGCAGGAAAAGGTAACAGCTAGGAAAATCCTGTTGAAACCCCTGTGTAGCCATTAAATGTTTCAGACGTTCTAAAAGCTAAGAATTGAGGAAACTCCGTACCAGGCTTTTGGATAGGAAGCTAGTGGTATCTCTTAGCAATACGTTTTAGTTGCATTTCACTAGTATTTAACACCTTCTTCAAAGGGTCCTTCTGTGTTGGGATTTTCCCTGGTTGAGGCACAGATGTATTAATTCATCTGTTCTTTGCTGCTGAAGTTCAGGCTAGTTACTTCATCGTGTAATTGCAGTCATTTTTAACCCGTAGCATGGACACTGTGGCAGCTTTAGTTCTTGAGAGCTGTCTGTCACAGTTCTTATGCTGAATCTTTTCTACCTAAAAGGCAGAAATTAAGCGCCTTCAAGAGGCTAACAAGGCTGCTCGGAAGGAGAGACAACTGATCCTTAAGCAGCAAGCGGAAATAGAGCGAATCCGTCAGACTACAATGAAACTGCAGGAGAAACTAAAGTCTGCAGGAGAAAGCAAGCTGGTAAGCGTTCGGGACGGAGCTGGACTCTTCCCGCGTTGGCCGTGTCGCTGGTAGTGGACTTTGGGGTTTATAGGAATGGAAGGCCACCAGATTGGACCTATCCCCTGGAAGATTTGTCTGCCTCAAAGGGTCTCAGCCTCTGTATCTCGGCAATTTAAAGCTTAATTTCTTTAGGATCAGTTTCCTGTTTGGGGAACTGAGTTTTCTTTCTGGTGGGATTTTTTTGCTCTAGATACAGTTAAGGGAAAAATGAAATTACGGAGGAAAAGAGTGTCCTAGAAAACATAGTGTCAAACAAAAATGAAGTTGGAAAATGAAGTTACATCTGCAGGTGGATCGACTCATCTGAAGCAGTATTTGATGTAATTGGGGGGAAGTAAGATAAATTATCACACTTTTTTAAAAGATTGTAGAATAAGTTCTCTTACTTTTAATATTGACTGGGGTTTTTTAACACTCAACTGCAGGAACTTCACAGTGAGGATGACATCAAGCAGAGCAATGGTTCCAGCCCGCTTCCGACTGATGCAGAAACACGCAGCCCTTCCCCAATCTCAATCTCCAGCAGTGAGACTAGTAGCATTATGCAGAAACTCAAAAAAATGCGCAGCAGAATGGATGAAAAGTAACTATATTTTATTTTTCTTATGTAAAAGTTTACTATTTTAATGGAGGGAGTTGCGTTTGGCCGCTATCTGCACTAAAAATGGCCATCAGAAAAATTAGAGGTATTGATACCACATTCACTTTGATCTGACTTGCCTGAAAAATAGCTGATTGGAAGCATTAATAGGACAGTATTAATCTGGGAATGTACTATTTTAAAGGCTACAATTCTTGCATGAATACTGAGATTGAAACGCTGATAGTTGGCAGACTGTGTGGACAAGGTTTTATTGCAGAAGGTTGGTTTTATTGTTCTCTGTACTTGATAAAGGTGCTAAAAGCCCACCAATTTGCGATTTTGCTGTTTGTGCATACAAGTCACTGGGATGGGTTGCAGCTTGATGGTACATCTTGTCAGAATTCCTCGTGCAATGAGAGACCTGAAGTCAAATGGTTAAAGTGATCCCTGTATTTTGTCTCCCCTTTTATTGTAAAGGGGAAAAAATACCGGGAATGTGACTGAAATTACAGTACCAATTTTTAGCTTGAATTGAAGCATAAGTTATAGCAATAGTCTTGCCAAAAACTCGTATCTGAGTTTGAGATCTGGCTCACAGAAAGTCACTGAGCTTGTCAGGCATGTGATTTCTACCTTATCATCCAGTTGGTGAATTTTAATTCTAATGACATTAAAATCAGTTAGGGATGGATTCTGTAAGTATCATAGGAGCACCTCTCCTATGAAAGGCTGACCGAGTTGGCCTTGTTCAGGCTGGAGAAGAGAAGGCTCCAGGGAAACCTTATTGCAGCCTTCCAATACCTGAAGGGGGCTACAAGGGAGCTGGGGGGGACTTTTTACGAGGGCCTGTAGTGACAGGACAAGGGGTAACGGGTCTAAATTGAAAGTGGGGAGGTTTAGATTGGACATCAGGAAGAAATTCTTCCTGGAGAGGGTGGGGAGGCACTGGGACAGGTTGCCCAGAGAAGGTGTGGATGTCCCATCCCTGGAAGTGTCCAAGGCCAGGCTGGATGAGGCTTGGAGCAAGCTGGTCTAGTGGAAGGTGTTCCTGCCCATGGCAGGGGGTGGGACTGGATGAGCTTTAAGGTCCCTTCCAACCCTAACCGCTCTGTGATTTTCATAGTTAATGTAGGTGGTATGTACGTGACTGAGAAGACAGGCAGTTTATAAGACCTTTCTTTTCCTCCTGTGTGGTCCACAGGTTGCAAAAACATTGAATAAGGTTGTTAGTCTTCAGATGAAATAATGACATGTATATGCAGTTCCTGGGGCTGAAAACTACGACTGAATCGTTGGTTTCACCTGTTAAATCCTTTTGATTCAAACATTGTTTCTGTGTCTTTTCAGTGTAGGAATTACTTTGTCTGCACTAAACATGCCAGATACTTTACCAGCATGTGCTTGTTAGTTTGAAGCCTTAAATTCTTCTTTGAGACTAACCCATTAAGAGTCTGGCCTCTGCCAGTTACTGCAGGGAATACTCTTTGCTTATTTGAATTTAAAACCAAGGTAGGTCACTACATTTTAGTCCGTATAGGTGATATTTGTAATACTTCTTCTCTCGGGACTCCTAACAAAGCTGGGTAAGACATCAAAAAGCAGGTGTTGCCATTTGCAAGCTGTCTGTGACCCCTTAGCACCCTGCTTGCTTAGCGTTTGAGAAGCACCTCTGTCCCTTGCGTGTATTTGTAGATGATGAAGATAGAACCCAGTAGTAGTAAGTGAGGATTTGGTGTAAGTAGGAAAAACCTCGCATGTTCTAGTTATATGGTCTTCGTGTTCTAGCCAGCACTGGTCACCACTTTATTCAGACTCTTCTGGTAGGATCTGGTAAACTGAACAGGCAAAATCACAAAGGATGTCAAGTTTCTGAAGTGGCACATTACCAAAACTAAACTCTTGGCATTGCAAGTCACGGGCGAACCACCCCGTCGTTAGAGTAGCAAACTCTACGATGAAAGGCTGTGAGAGTTGGGGGTGTTCAGCCTGGAGAAGAGAAGGCTCCGGGGAGACCTTATAGCACCTTCCAGTGCCTGGGGGGGCTACAAGGAAGCTGGGGGGGACTTTTTACAAGGGCCTGTAGTGACAGGACAAGGGGTAAC